GTGGGGAAACTGAGTCATAAAGCGGGGCCGTGACTTCCCCACGGTCACATGGCGAATCCGGGGCGGAGCCAGGGGTAGGACCCGGGAGTCCTGAGGCCCAGCCCAACCCCCGGGCCACTCAGCAGCGCTGGCTCAGCACAGAGGTGACCCCGGAGGGACCTTTGTGAGCAGCATAGCGATTTGGGGGGGGGCGTAATTCGCTGCTCAGCTGCCTCGCGAGTGTCGGTGAATCAGCGCCTGCCCTGGCAGGTCAGACAGGCCCCGGCTGCCCCGAGAGAGGCCCAAAGAATCCCAGTTATTCCTCTGGCAGGAAGGGCTGAAATGCGAGCTCTGGCGGGTGGGGGCGGGGAGCATCTGCCGGGAGCCTGGAGCCAGGCCTGCAGCCGGCTCCCCGGCGGGGAGCTGAGGGGACCGGCTCACCGGTAACTCCGGCCCCGGCAGCAAACGGCTCATCCCAGAGCCGGACTCATGCTCCCGCGGGCCCCTGGGACTCGGTGCTGGACCAAAGGCCTCCCAGTGCTTGGTTTTAACCATTAGCCCGGGGCAGAACCCAGGAGTCCTGACTCCCAGCCCCCCTGCTCTAGCCACTAGACCCCACTCCTCTCCCAGAGCTGGGGATAGAACCCAGGCGTCCTGGCTCCCGCCCCCCTGCTCTAACCACTAGACCCCACTCCTCTCCCAGAGCTGGGGATAGAACCCAGGAGTCCTGACTCCCAGCCCCCCTGCTCTAGCCACTAGACTCCTCTCCCCTCCCAGTGCGGGGGCTTAGAGCAAGGGGGACTGGGAACCAGGACTCCTGGGTTCTATTAACAGCTCGGGGAGGGGAGGAATCTAGTGGTTAGAGCATGGCAAGATGGGAACCAGGACTCCTGGGTTCTATTGCCAGGTCTGGGAGGGGAGGGGAATCTAGTGGTTAGAGTGGGGGGGGATGGGAGCCAGGACTCCTGGGTTCTATTGGCAGGTTGGGAAGGGGAGTGATGTGCAGTGGTTAGAGCAGAGGATATGGAACTCAGGAGACTGGCTTCTATTCCCAGCCCTCCTGCAGACTCCCTGGGTGACCATGAGCAAACCACTTGAGGCCTAATAATTAGAAGTGCTAAGCATCCATGACTGGCAGTTCTGAAAAGGAGGGCCTTAAGCGCCGTGCCTCAGTTTCCCCCATCTGCTGAATGGAGATAATAGTCCTCCGTCTCTCCCATCTTTAGTCCGTCTAGCCTGAGATTGTAACATCTTTTAAGCAGGGACCTCTGCCGCAGGATTCTACAGCTCCGAGCACAATGGGGCCGTGATCTCGGCTGGATTAGAACTAACAGATTCTGAGCATAATGGGGAGTGGGGGCGGATACCAGAATGGCTGAGATTGATAAGGGGCATTGATAAATGGAGGGATTTCGTGGTTTTGACAAGTTGCTTTGAATCTAACGGCTCTCTCCGCGTTTAACAAAGTTTTTTATTTTTCCCCCCAGGGGAATTTCCCAGGTTTTTTTTATTTGGCGAACCTTTCGGGAGCGGCAACTTCTTCCGTTCCCCAAAATGCGCTGGCCGTGAGAGCCGGGCGACTTTTTGGTTCGCGGGCCGTTCTGAAAAACGGAAAAGAATTCGGTTCGGGTCAAACGGGGATTCCCGGTCGCTTCCCCCAAATCGAATTCCGCGCGTGCGTTTTGGGGCGGAGAAACCGCTCGTCTGGAAAATTGACGATTATTTTTGATTTCTTATTGTGGCTATAAAAGTTTGGGGTTCCCTCTGGCCCCACCCCCCAAAGTAGATCTTTTTTGGAGCGATTGCTCGGCACCTTTTGCCTCTGCCATTGCCTGGGTTCCTCTCGGGTCAGAATCCCAGCAGGAGTACATGAAATCTCGGTTGCGCGGCTTGTGATGGGGGCAGGTCCCTGCATTCTAGGGCTGTTGTGAATCAGCCGGAGTTGTGCTGGGGTCCTGGCCAGCTCTGAGTCTCCGCGTGGACAGGCGGGTTTTTCTGGCTGCGGTGGGGGAGCTCGCGAAAGGTCACTGGCACCGAAATGAGATTGATTTAACAGATTGTCTCAGCAGAGCTCTTTCCGGGTTTATTAACAGCATTTGGTGGGTGGGCGAGGGCTGGGACGTTCAGTAAGTGATGCTCAGGGGGTGGAAGGAAATGTTATTTCACTCGGGGAAACCGAGGCGCAGAGCGGGTGGCAAAGGAACCCAGGAGTCCTGGCTTCTGCTCTGATCATCAAACCACACATCCCCCTCCTAGAGCTAAAAATAGATCCCAGGAGTCCGGCCCCCTTTCCCCCCCCCCCTAATCTTTACACCACACCCTCCTCCCAGAGCTGGGAAAGAACCCAGGAGTCCTCATCTGATCATTATACCACACGCCTTCCTAGAGCTGGGGATGGAACCCAGGCGTCCTGGCTCCCAGTCCCTCACCCCTAAACATGTTGCCTTCCAGAGGGAAAGTTACCCTGTGGTCCGTGCTGCATGTAGATTTCAGCTCGGCTCTTTCCGCCCCTTCGCAGTCACCAGGATGATGGCGCCCCTTGAATCCAGCCGCTGGCAACATTTATCCACCTTGGCCAGACTCCATTTCCCACGATGAACCATGGTCTCTCCCCATGGCTGAGCCAGTGCAGTGTCTCATTGGTGAGGGATCTCTGTATAAACCGCTGCCATGCTCCACCCCAGAGGTGGCGGCATCTCAGTGCTGGGTGAGGGACAACTGTCTAAAGAGCTACCGAGCCCCGTTGCCAGAGGTGGCTGCATTTTGGTGCTGGGCGAGGGATTCCTGTATAAACAGCTGCTGTGTGCGCCACCTCAGAGGTTTCTGCATTTCACTGTTGGGCGTGTTGTCCCAGAGCAATGTTGCTGTGTGGCTGTTAAGCAACTGCCATGCCCCACCCCAGGTCAGTCGCATTTCAACTGTGGGTGAGTGGTCCCTGTGCAGTGTGCTATGCAACAGCTGCCGGGTGCTGTCCCAGAGGTGGCTGGACTTCAGTGCTGGGGGAATGACCCCTGTATTAACAACTGCCCTGGCCCACCCCAGAAGTGAGCATATCTCAGTGCTGAGTGAGGTATCCTTGTATAATCTGCTGCCAAGCTCCACCCCAGAGGTGGCTGCATCTCAGTGCTGGGATGAGTAATCCCTGTATAAACAGCTGCCACGCCCCACCCTACAGCCACCGTCTGCACCGTGGATGAAATGATGATGCAGCGTTGCCTGGTGATGTCTGCAAAGTGCTCTGCGGGAGGAGAGGCGTTCCGGGAACGCCAGGGTCTGACCCATTCCTGTTTTGCAGGATTATCTTGGCTGTATCATAGACAATGGACATCTGCCCCTCAAACCCGAGCAAGTGAGCGCTTTGTTCTGCAACATCGAAGACATCTATGAGTTCAACAGGTGAGTCTGCCGCCCCCTAGCGCCCGCTGGTCAGGGAGAGAATGGTGGGAGATGATCGGGAGAGGGACTTGTTGGGGGTATTGAGTTGATTTCTGAGTTCCCTACAACTTTGGTAACAGTGACCCCCATGTGGGGATTGAACCTGCAACTTCGGGATCTAGATCTCCCATGATGCAGCATGGCCTCACTAAGAGAGGAGAAAGTGGTGCATCATGGGAGATGTAGTCCAATCAGAGAGCCTGGCCCATAGACAATGAGATCATAAGGTCCCTTAGCTACAACTATTGTCTTGAAATATTTTAGTCTCTGGCCGAAATTCAAGATTTTGCCCCAAAAGTCAAAATGTTCTGGGCGCGGGGAGGAACCTTGAGCTAAATGACAGATTGAACAGTTTGGATGGTTTGCTTTGACTCAAACAACTCTCTCAATGTTCACAACGTTTTTAATTTTTGCATGGGGGAATTTCCCCGGTTTGTTAATTGGTGAAACTTTCGGGATCAGAGACGTTTTCACAAACGCTCCCGGCTGCCGTGCACACTCTCACGGAAAAGGTGATCGCACGAGATCTCCCACGTCCTTTAGGTAGGGAGCCCTCCTGTCCTGGGCGGACACAATATTGAATGGAGTATATGGTATATTTCATATTTTAATGCAATCTAAAAGTCAAACCCAAATGATGATAACGTTGAAATGAAACGCTGAGGGCCTCATCCTGCCAGGTGCTGCACAGACACAGAACAAGCGACAGTCCCTGCCCCCAAAGAGTTCCCAGACAAAGGGTGGGGAGAGGAAACTGAGTCCCAGAGAGGGGAGTGGCTTGTTCATAGAGTCATAGATGCCAAGCCCAGAAGGGCCATTGGTATCGTGTAGCCTGATCTCCTGGATGGCCCAGGCCAGAGACCTGCCCCTAAATAATTCCCAGAGCAGATCTTTTAGGAAAATGTCCAGTGAGTTCTCACTCCAGTGCCCTACCCACAGGGGTGCACTGCCCCCCCCTTCTCCCTCTTTGGACTATTCCTGTCTCTCTGCTCTGCCCCCCCCCTCCCCCCAGTGTTTCAGCATCCTTGGAGATGCAGGGGCCTCCGCCATCCAGCCGGGCGTGCCTCAGTTTCTCCTTTGCTGTAACAATGGGGTTAAAGAGGAACCCCTCCAAGCCCATGTGTGGTGAGATCTAACCACTAGGCCCCAGTCCCTCTCCTGGAGCCAGGAACAGAACCCAGCAGCCCTGGCTCCCAGCCCCTCTCACTAACCATTAGATACCGCTCTCCTCTCAGAGCTGGGAATAGAACCCAGGAGTCCTGGCTCCCAGCCCCTCTCACTAACCATTAGACACCGCTGTCCTCTCAGAGCTGGGAATAGAACCCAGGAGTCCTGGCTTCCAGCCCCTCTCACTAACCATTAGACACCGCTCTCCTCTCAGAGCTGGGAATAGAACCCAGGAGTCCGGCCTCCCAGGCCCCCACTCCCCCACTCTAAAAAGCCCAGGGCTGTTCCCCCAGGGATCCGGGCGCTTTGCTGGGTGGGGGCAGGACGCCCCAGCGGTTTGCTAGCGGGGGCAGCGAATGAAGCGTCTCAGGGCCGGGCGCTTGGTTTGCGTGGCGCGTTCGGTTTGCAGCCAGGGTTGGCTCTGGGCCACCCTCCCCCCCCAACTCTATTCTCAGGGTGGGGGAGGGGAAAGGGGGGGGGCGGAGGTTGTTTCCTGTAAGAGCGAGAACTCCCATCTGCGTCTGTTTAAGTATTTCAGCTGCGTGGGCCGGCTGTAGAGCCGAGCCCGGGGTGCTTAACCCTGTAGGGGAAGGAGCCGGATGCCGAGCGGGGGCTCAGTAGCGTGATGGGGGGGGACATTCCTTCACACCCCACCCCAGGCCCCACCCAGGACACCTCTTCATGGGGAGAGGCGTCCTCGCTTTCTTGGGCAGTTTTCTTAGTCAGGGGGGCGGGGGGGGACATTAGAGTGCAAACGGGGGTTGCAATACGGGGTGTGGGGATTTAGTGGTTAGAGCAGAGGGCCTGGGAGCCAGGACTCCTGGGTTCTATTTCCAGCTTTGCGAGGGGAGAGGGATCTAGTGGTTAGAGCAGGGGGGCTGGGAGCCAGGACTCCTGGGTTCTATTTCCAGCTCTGGGAGGGGAGTGGGGTCTAGTGGTTAGAGCGAGGGGTGGGGGCTGGGAATCAGGTCTGTGGGAACTGCAGGGTATCAGTTGCAGCCAGGTTTAGGGTGCGTGTGGGGTCGGGTTGAAAGTAAGGAATGAATGCAGAAACGAATAAGTGGAAGGAGGGGATGGGGGATGGGTTCCCCCCCCCCATGGCAGTGTTTGGCTGGGGAGGGTTGGAGGGGGCAGGGTGGATCAATGAGGAACCCTCCCCCCCGCGCGCCTTCCGCCATGTGGTTTGCGGCTGGGTTTCTCGGAGCTCGTTTCCTGGCAGGGCCATGTGAGGGCGCGGGGTGGGGGCGCGTGTTCTCGGGGCGCTGATGGCCAGGGAGTCCGTGGGAGGGACGGGGCAGGGGTCTGGCTGGGGAGCTCCCTCGGAACAGAGCCGCCGTTATCCCCCGGGGAAGCGTAGGGTTAACAGTGGGGGTGGTGGGGCGGGGAGGGAGCCCAGCTCTGGGGCAGGCACAGGACGTGGGGCAGGGGTGACAGGCCCTGCGAGGGCAGATCTGAGTAGGGACGGGGCCGCTGATTCTAGCCTGGGAGTGCTGTATGGCTGGGAGTGGGAGGGCTCGCTAGGGAGCGCTCTCCCCTCCCAGTTTTCCCTAACCCCAGTGGCCCAGCGGGGGCGCCCTAGAGAAGTTGAGACCCTGGCGCGTCCAGAATCCAGAGAACCCACCTGCTGTGTAAATTCACCCCCCACCCCCTCCTTAAAGCATTGGGAGAGGGTTGGCCTGGCTGCTAAGCGTGTGAGTGCCGCTGCCCTCTACTGGCTCTAATCAGCATTGCCCCTCTGTGTGTCATGACCCCTATACTGCTAGCGGCTAGTGGGGATTCTCCTTTTGCGCTGGTGGCGGGCGGGAACCGGGCCTTTGCAGCAGAAATCCTGCACCTGTTGCTTGCGTTGAAAGGAAGGGAAGGTGCACGGCTCAGGGACTTGGCCTCAGCGCCTTGTATGTTGAGGTCACGGGTTCGAATCCAGCCAGTGCCAGCCTGTATAGGGAAGTGCAATTATGCAAACTACTTGCAAATTTGGAGTCTGGAGACGCAGTTTCTGGGTGCGTGCAGAGGGGTCTCCGGATGACACAGATCCTCCCCGCCCCCCTCAGAAACAGCCTTTACACTGCGTGCCCCTTGCATCAGCGGCTTCACGCCCTGCCCTCTTTCTCCCCCTTGTGCAGCGAGCTCCTGGAAGAGCTGGAGAGCAGCGGCAGCGCCCATGCCATCGCCGAGTGCTTCGTGCAACGGGTAAGGGCCTGCCTGTCCTGCCCCTCCCTGCCCCCCTCCAGCAGCCAGCTGCGACCCCTTTCCGCCTCTCCTGCACCCCCTGGTGTACCCAGGTGTGTACTGCACGAGTTCCCTCCGGCTCTGTTCAACTTTGGGTACAGGCGCCGACGGAGGGGTGGGACAGGGACAGGTCATCTAATCCCCCCCAGCCTTTTGCAAGGAGAAAGGGGGGTTGGAGCAGAGCAGTAGGGGGTGTGAGCCCCACCCGATCTGGTTAGGGGGCCCCTTTGGCGGGGGAGGGCTGAGAGAGGGAGCGGGGAAGGAGGAATGGAAAGAATGAAGGGTGGTTAGGGGGACAGAGGGGTGGAAGGATGGGGGCTGGGTGGATAAAGGATAGATGGATGGATGGGGGTTGGAGGGGGAAAGAGGGATGCTGGATGAATGGAGTAGGGGAGGCTGGATGGATGGAGCAAACTGATTTCCACTAAGGGGATCTTGGGAGAGATGCCTGCCGGGGGTGGGATTGGGGGGGGGCAGGTGATCAAGGGATATGGGGGGGAAGGGATGAGGGTTGAGGGGTGCAGCCAGAGTAGAGGGGGGGCGATCTGGGGTCTGGGAACTTAAGTGGGAGATTGGAAGGGCGGGGTGGGAACGAAGTGTAAAGGAGCCAAGCAAAGTGGAGGAGCCAGGCGGGGACGGAGTCTAGGCTGGGAGCGCCACACCCCAGAGGCGGCTGCATCCCGGAGCCGAGCGAGGGATCCCTATAAAAACAGCCCCGGCGCCCCACCCCAGAGGTGGCTGCACCTCAGGGCCGGGCTTCATGTATAAACAGCCTCCCTCACATACCCCACCCTCAGAGGTGGCTGCATCTCAGCGCCAGGTGAGGGATCCCTTATAAACAGGCTCCCCGCATCCCACCCCAGAAGCAGATGCATCTTAGGGCTAGGCGAGGGATTGGTGCATGAACCACCCTTGCGCCTCACCCCAGAGGTGGCCACATCTGAGCACGGGGGGAGTCGGGTGCCCTTTGGGAGAGGGGCTGTGAAACCCTCCTCCCTCTCTGCACCTCGGCTTCCACCCCGGCTGGCGCCTCCCGACCCCGCTCGCTCCGTGCCCCTGTCCTGTCCCTGCCCCCTCCCCTGACACCCCCTGTTTTCTCTTGCAGAGCGAGGAATTTGACATCTACACCCTGTACTGCATGAACTACCCCAAGTGAGTAGGTGCCCCCAGCCCAGGAGTGGGGAGGGCCGGGGGTCGATGGGTCCCACCCCCCCGGGCCGGGGGAGGAGGGAGAGGATGCATGGGCCACTGGGATCCGAGTCTGTCCCCCCAGCCCTGCTTGGGGAAGGGGGCAGGGGTGTTAGGAGCCAGACTGGGGCGGGTAGGCATGCCCCCTCGCCCAGTGCCAGGGCGGGCACCCCCTGGTGGCAGGGCAAGCAGGCACTTGCCCTCACCCGGTGCTGGGGCGGATGGGCACCGTCCCCCATCGCTCGCCACCTCCCGGTGCCCGGCTAGCCTGCCCGTCTCCCCCCCCCCAGTTCGGTGTCGGTGCTGCGGGAGTGCATGGAGAACCAGGTGCTGGCGGGGTTTTTCCGGGAGCGCCAGGCCACGCTGTGCCACTCCCTGCCCCTGGAGACCTACCTGCTGAAACCCGTCCAGAGGATCCTCAAATACCATCTCCTGCTGCAGGTGGGTGACACCCCCAGCGGGGCCGGGCCGACACCCCCCGCCCCTCTCCCCGGGCTGCGGGAGATTCAGGTGGGCAGAGGCGCAGGTGGGGTGCGCAGGTTCCCTACAACGGGCACCCGCTTGAAGCGACTGATGGGGAGGTGAGACGGAGGAATCCACGGAGCAAAGACCCCAGCACTGCCCAGGCAGGAGCTCCCCCCGCAGCCAG